TGAAAACTGAGTAAGAGTTCAGAAATCTTTCATCTAGTACCTTAGTTTTCAAACAAATATGAATTTCTAAATACAAATTACAGAATCCAACTCCATTATTTTCATTGAAAAATCCTCCTAGTGAAATCTGGACTTACACACTTTCAGAAAGGTGTGTAGCATCCTCCCCCTTTATCAAGGAAACTTCTCTTTGCAACAGAAGAAGATCCTTGCAGAAAACCTCAAGCACTCAAACTGCAGCGCTGTGGAGCCCAGTCCTAATGGACTCGTCTCTGAATCAACCCCTTACCCAAGACTCAGGGAGCAGTGCAGTAGAGGGGGATGGAAGACTTTAAGACCCAGAGGAGCAGCGAGTTGGCTGTAAGAATGCGTTCCCTAGCAACATCAGAAGGTACACCCATTAAGTCTCACCATCATGACCGCTTAAGCATGAGCTGAAGAAGGCCAACAGTATACGTGTCAAAGTGGATGAGGGAAAAAGCAAAGAACCACAGGAAACCAAGGGATGCCAAGAGTGAGAGAAATATTCTTCTTCAGGGAAGAGCACACCAAATGGCTATTTAATACCAAATGGTCAGCCCTAAAAACATACACAAGTAACATTATATGCATATATATAGCATATATATGCATATATATAGGATTCATATAATATGTATATATGTGTGTATATATATATATACCTTCTTAGTGTGTCACGCAGAAACAAACACATTGTCATTTATTTCCTATGACAAAGGTGACAACTATTCCTGTTTTGTGGACAAATTGTATCACGCTTGTTGGAATTCAGCAAAATTCTGTCTAATATCAGACAGAGCACAAGATAATCATTGTCTTACTGTGTAACAACAACTAATTAAAGAAGAGGCCATGAGTTTGAATGAGAGTAAGGAAGGTATATGGCAAGGTTTGAAAGGAAGAAAAGGAACTGGAAAATGGTGTGGTTATATTCTCAAAATTAAATGATATATATTTTGGGAACTTTCCTGGCTCAGGTGATGACTTGAAGGGTAGAGTGCTTATCACCAAATTTGATGACCCAAGTTTGTTCTCTTGAACCCTAGCGGTAGATGGAAAAAGACAACCCTGCTCTCGCAAGTGTCCTTTGATCTCATATGTGTGCTGCGGCACACAGAAAAATAAATTTAAAAGGTAAAAGCAATTAATCTCAATTAAACATATGATCAAACAGATATTGAAACCACTGGACCTCATGGCTTCTGCTTGAGAATTAATGCATGTGGGTGAATGTGCACACCAATGAAGGAACAGACAAAGCCTCTTCATGGGAAGAGGTCAAATAGCCCATCTCAATGGAACAGTAATAACATAAACAGAGTAACAGATCTCGTGTTCTGATGTTCGTAGAAGTTTGCCAAGTTCCAAAATGCTTGATGCCACTTGTTGATAAAACAAGACTAGTTATCACTTTTGTCTCTCAAAAGGTGTTGTAAGGACTCAATGACGTGTTTCCTTCTGTTGAAAATGTCTGACATCCTACAAAGCACCATCTGTACCCTCCCTCTACTGAACAATCAGAAAGCTTTAGAGAGAGAAGAACAAATCCCTCATGTCTTGTTTTTCGAACCTCATTTATCATCAACATAGATTTTCTGGAACAATCCCTTTTTCTCGTCACAGTTCTCAGAAGCCCTGAACTATGTCACAGGTCTTGATGATGTCCGCTCCACTTGAAAAATAGTCTGTGGTTGTTGTGCTGGGGATCAAACCCAGAGCCTCCCGCATAGGAGGTAAATCCTCTGCAACTGAGCTATCCCCAGTCTCTCCCCAAATGTTTCTTAAAGTTATCTTTTGTATGTATGCACGTGTGTAACAATAACTACAGAAAAAAAGGAAATGGATTTATGAGGAATACATGGGAAGGGTTAGAGGGAAGGAGAAAAGGGGAAGGGCCAATTATGACTTTTTAATTTCAGAATCATACACATCATCCAAATTAAACGCAAATTTATTTAAATTCACAAAGCTGGAAACAAAAGGCTAAATTTAAAATAGTTTTCTGCAAAAACAAAATATCTACCTGCATTTTTTTTTATCTGAATGCCTGTCAACATCTCTGTGTCCTTGCATCAATCCCAGATTATGTGTCCCACAACTAAAGTATTCTAACTCAGGAATATTGAAAACATCATGCATTATTTTCAAACCCAAGGTATGAGTTCACTTAAATTACTAATAATCATGTAATAGATGATGCAGGGTAGAATTTGTAGGCATACTTTGAAAGTTAATGGTCATGAGGAAACTGATTTGAACCTAGGGGGAAAGATATGAAGCGATTGGACAATCCTACAATAATAAAACGTGACCGTCTAGCTCCTCAATACCTACTGAATAATAATATGCATGTACCTAGCTCCTCAGTACCTAATGAATAATAATATGCATGTTTTATTTACATATTGGACAATGCAGCGCTCTGTTCCGTGAATGATGTTCTTCTGCCACTTGGTGGTGCCTGCCAGTTGCAGAATCCGTTTCTTGGTGGCACTGTACCACCAAATGCTTAGTAAGGGACTCAGCAGCACAACATTCCCAACCGAAAAGCTTTGGTTCCAAGGGCTTGGCTTAATAGTTTAAAGAACCCCTGCGGAGGTGACTGTGTTAACCACTCACAAGCAGCAACTGACTCCGAGGACGCTTTAAGTTACTGTGGGCAAAGGGTCTGAAGAATTCACCTTCTTACAAAACAAGCCAAAATTTTAGCAGAGAACTCAATAGCAATTTTCCTCGCTAAGAGGTTCTGTAAAATGCTACGTTATAGTCAAGCCCTGCGTTCCTAGCTCTGGTTTCCGCTCCTAATCGCCGCAAAAGCACAGTGTCTGAAGGACTTTGTCTTGAGTTCAAGTGGAGCTTGTTTTCGCATGCCTAATTAGTTTCTGATCATCGCCGGTCGAGCCTCGGTATGGAAAATCCCAGGTTCTCACTCTGTACTGTGGGGTTGGTGCGGCTGAGTCTGCGCTAAGCTGGAAGGTCTGTTGCAGTCTCTGCCGAACCGCAGCTCTGTTTCTTTGTTTTTTGCGATATCTTTGGCAGCTCCATCTTCCGGGCATTCCTTTACCTTCAACAACTCACTTGCTTCATCTAAAAGCCGATTTTTCTGATGCCTCCAACGTCTGGTCAAATTGATCTGTGTTAATGGAGTCTTCGCTGGTGAGAGATGCCATTGAGTGGAACGCCGAGATCTGTGGCCGCTTTTTTTTTTTTTTTTTTTTTTTTGCCTGGAGCAAGAGACACCAAGATTCAGATATCTTTAAGGGTGGGCAGAGGAGGGAAAAGCTAGTCTTGGGAGGGGGGCAAACTGTGAGATAAAGGGAAAGGTTCCACACTGAGGAAGAAAGAGAGGTGGCTTTGAGGCTCAGAGGTGCTGTGGGATCACATCTCTCTAAGGCGAAGTTAAAAGGCATCCGGGTGGGAGGAGGTTGGAGGTCACAGTACTTAAAAGAATTGCTCTGGCATAGCTTATTTCCTGGGGGTGTCTGCAGAGGGTAGAGATTCCCCTTTCCAAAGCTTGTTAGAGCCTCTTTTAAGTGATTTAGGTAAGGTACGCTAATTGCTTGTCAGATGCCTTCAAACAATGCTCTCTGTCAGGATGCAGGAGCGTCTGGAAGGGGCTACAAGGAAATTTAAGAAAGGGGGAAGGATATGGGAGCTCTTGAAAAAAAAGGAGAAGGGGGGTAGTGGGAAAGAAGAAAGAGGAGGGAGAGAGAAACCGAGAGGGAATATACATGTATGGTGCGGATGGAAAAAAGAAATCCTGAATAACTGAACGATCACACACACACACACACACACACACACACACACACACACACACACCACGGAGAGAAAACTCTTTGCTGCAAGGAACCCTGTGACTGCAGTAGCGACTAGAGTCGCAGGAGACAGACACTCCTTCCTTGTCCCAGATAGCTCTTGGCCCTAGAAGCAAACATGCCATTAAGCTAAAGAGTGTTTTTAACTGCGTGGAGTGCCACAGAAGGAAGGCGGTAGCGTTCTCCTGTTTCCCGAGTTCTGGGGCGAAAGAGAACCGAGAGGAGCGAGCTAGTGACTTGAGCCGAGTTAGACGCCCTTGCCTCTCCCAGGTCACTGGTGATCCGGCAGCCGCGGAGTAAGGTGCCCGGGTGGGTGCTACCGCCCATGCAGCTTAAGCCGATTCTCTCCTCCAAGGCGCCACTTGGCTGTGGTTTCGCCCTGTAACCCATCCTCAGCATAGATGCAGGGAAACCTCTCGCTGCTCCTCACGGACACCTGTCCCAACCAAATTTGACCTCCTAAGCACATTTGGCTGCGCCTTTTAGACAGCCACACAAATAGGTTCCAGGCTTTCCCCGAGCGCCAGGGGAGAGGGACTCAAACCTCAGCCGCCCTAGCGGGTCTGAGCTGCAGAGAGCCTGGAAAGGGAAAAGGAGGGGCGAGGAAACCAGGGAGAGCCAGGGAGACTGACTGGTTGCGCTGGCCTGGAGAGCACCGTCGGGTTTGCAGCTCCTTCGGGAGCCGATGCTGCTGCTGCTTTAAGCCTTACAGAGCTTTCTAGCTCTCCCAGGGCCACCTCTCACCCGCTTTTCTCGGCCACCGCCTAGAGAAGCATCCTTATGCTTCTTATGCTACCGCGACATGCCTAGCCTGGATCCCTTTTCTGGCCCACCGGCGCCAGCGGGACACCCTCTGCTCCCTGCCCGCTTCCCCCTCGCTGCCCTGCGGCTGCTGATTCTCCACCTCCTCCGCCCCCACCATCTCCAGCTGGAAGACAAGGCCACCCAGTCGCAGCGGGTGCTGGCAGCCCGGGTCACGCACGGAAGAGAGGTGCAAGCTCGGACCCCACGCAGGGTAGGGGGCGTCCTGGAGCCGAGCAGCTAGGCAAGTGGGATGAAAGAGCGTGGGAGTAGCCGCCCTGAAGCCTGAGCTTCTCCCAGGAGCTATCCGCCCCCCCCCTCCCGCCCCAGCCCGACTAGGGCAAGAGCTTAGAGAGCTAGCCCATCTGTGGCATCGGTGGCCGCCTCCTCCTTGCACCTCCTCGCCGACCCCTCCCTCCCGGGACCTGCATCCCGCTCCGCCAATCAGAGTCCGACTGCCGCTTCCCACGTGACCCCGGGCGGGCTAAGGACCTGCTGCTTCCCAAACGCCAGAGGGATGCGGGCGGCAGAGCGCGAGAGGCGGCGGCTGGGTTGCGGGGCGCTGTGACTGTCCCTCCACCCAGTCTAGTCGCGCGCCTCTCTCCTGCCCGCTGGCTGCCTCCTCTCTGCCTCCTGCTTTCTGTCTCCTGTCCCTCCTTTGCCCCAACCCTGTTCCTTATGGCAGCAGTTCCCCGCATCTGGGGCGAAGCTTCTCAGCGGACTATCCTCTCGCTCCCGGGACTGAACCGGGTTACTGGATGTTGCTGAAACTCCTGAGATCATGCGCTCCTTTGGCCGCAGCCCCAGAGCCGGCTGTCCCTGCCGCCGCCGCCTCCTCTGCTGCCGTGGTCCGCGGGATGCTCAGTAGCCTGCTGCGTGGCCCCCGCGATCCCGTGTTCTTCAGAAGCCTTTGGTTGCTGCAGAGTTGCGCGAAGTAGTCATGGTGCTGTGGGAGTCCCCGCGGCAGTGCAGCAGCTGGACACTTTGCGAGGGTTTCTGTTGGCTCCTGCTGCTGCCGGTGACGCTGCTTATCATAGCTCGCCCGGTGAAACTCGCTGCTTTCCCTACCTCCTTAAGTGACTGCCAAACGCCCACCGGCTGGAACTGTTCCGGTAAGTCCAGATCCTCAGCCCTCCACCCCTTCACCCCTCAAAAAGCGCGGAACCTGTACAGACTTGCCGGCCCACCCTCGTGCGTCTGCCCAGCCCCTTGCCTTCCACTGCCTGGAAGCCAGGACTTCCCACCTCCATCCTGAGAAACATTGGGAACTGCTTCAGCCAGGGCTGGGCGTGCTGGGATTAGGAACAAAGTGAAGGTGTGGGGGAACCTTGGATGTCTGCCCTCACATTGAAGCTGAGAGGATTCAGGGGGTAGTTTTCTGGATTCTCGAATCGAGGGAAACACCTAACACAGACTATTTCCTGTCGTTTCAAAAATAAAAAAGTCTAGCCTGACTGTGAGAGAAATAACTTTATGAGAAAGAACAATCGAGAAAGCAATAAATCAACTGATGACTACAGGGGGAACCGTTAATTCCTGCCGGGGGGGGGGGGGGATGCTTCTGAATGCAGGGTTTTCCTACTTAGCACTGGGCACTGGGTCACAGATATTTCTGAAGGAGGCAAGTTTCCAAGAATTGACTCTCTCTCTCTCTCTCTCTCTCTCTCTCTCTCTCTCTCTCTCTCATTTCTCTGCCTCCCTGTTCCCTCCCTCCCCTCTCTCCCTCTTCCTCCTTCCTCCTTTGGCTATAGCTGCTTCCCCCCCCCCCACACACACACTGTCTATAGCTCTTTAACCCTCTCTTGCTCTCTCTGGTGCACCCTCTGGCTGTCTCCCTCCCTCTTTCCTGTCACCCTCCCTCCTTTCTCTCTTTCTTTGGCTGCAAATGCCATTGATATAGAAAGAGGTTGATTTTCTAGCCAAAGGATGTCCACCCAGGCTTTCTCAGCTCCTCTGTGGAGCACAGAAGTTGAGAAAAGAAGCACAGACTCTCCCCCAGCCAGGATGGGATGCCCCAAGCCTGGAAGCTTCTGAAAACATAGTGCCTCTACCACAGTGGGTTCCAACCCCTTCACTTCTGCACTGGGTTGCCTGGAGTGACAGGCAGTCCCCTTGCTCATTCAGTCCCTGACAGAATACTAAAGCCTCACAGGCTGCACCCTACTGAAGCACTAATTGAAAAGGGCCCAAAGATTGAAGCTATTGCAATCTTCCTGGCTTGTTCTACGTTTCATTGGGAGAGCCTCTAGCCTACCGTGAAGAACTGCGGTATGATAGCTTTGGCATTTTAAACTTCATAAACATGCCTGGGCATTGTCCTCATGGTTTGATCCCGTTCTCGGTTTAGCAAGTGTGTTTAGAGCATTTCATTTTCTGTAAATAAAATCCTGGTACAATTGAATGAGGTGAACTTTTGTAGAAATATAGGTGAAAGAAAGGGTCTGTAACTGTTGAGAGGGTGTGATTATTAAGTGTAACTTATAGCTGGAGCCATGTACAGTTCTAAGGAATGGCTACAATAAACCCCAAGAGGGAATTAATATATACCAATCTGGTTTGGTCTTTCTTAAGACAAGTTGAAATTTACAGTTCCATTATATTTGGGTCAGTGGATTGACTGTTCTGCTTTGGGTAATATCTAAATGTGGCATTTTATGAAACTCAACATGTATCTAGCTTATTCTTGGTGCCTGCATTCCTGTAGGCTATTTTTTTTTTAAGAATAAGTTCCACTTGGGAACAAAACATCCTTAAATTTGATTGTAGCTAATGTTGAACAGGACTAGTTCGCTTCATTCTTACCTGGTATTAGTACAGGAAAGAATTAACTTACATGTGACATTGGCGATGAAGAAATGCATTCTGAGCTATATATCTCGAAGTTGGATGCACCAACTAAAAAAAATAACCTGCAATTCTAGGAAGGTTGTTGAGAACTTGGCAGCCCCTTCCCACCCCTGTTAACTGGGAGGTGATCAATCTTCCTTTGAGCCCGAGAGACCTTCGTAGAAAACACCAAGCCTGTTTATCTTTATTATTGAAGTTTTGCTTCCTCTTTGTCTGGAAAAAAATCCAAATAAGTGTCATTTTAGACCTTATAGCAAAGAATAATTAAAGATAGAGAGATACTAAAATAGCACCCACACACCATCACCAGATTTTCCAAAAAAAAAAAAAAGAATGTTGAGTTTGGGTCACTGATAATAGTCTATTTAGTGAGGGGGGATGAGGAAGCTGAGAAGCAAGTATCAAACTTCCATTCATAGTCAGCATTAATCCAAGATAAAATTCAAAAGATGATATGGAAAGGGAATTTACTGGGAAACTGCTTTAGAAGTATAAAATATTATTGATCCCTTCTCTAGATTTTGAGTTTGTTAGTAGAAAGCAACCTTGTGGCACATCTGTGGCTGTTGCAATGAAATTTTAAGAAAATTCTGTTAGTGCCACAAAATAGCTTTCTCTTCAAAGAATTCACAGCATCTTCAAATGACCGGAGCATTCTCTTTAAACTTGAGGTTATGATGACAGAGAAAATGATCTCTTCCTCTGCGACACCAACACCTGTAAATTTGACGGGGAATGTTTAAGGATTGGAGACACTGTGACGTGCGTCTGTCAGTTCAAGGTAAGACATCTGATATCTGCACCTTCAATCCGTGACAAAGACTGCAAGGCAGGGAGTTGCTTCTGCAGCCCATCCTTTGGCATTTTCTAACTCTACAGACTCAAAGGGAGGCTGGCATCACATAAAGGTACTGCCAAGGGAGCAAGCTGGCGTCAAGAGGACATGCCTTTTAGAGACTGGTGTGTGCCATAGTTAGAAATGCCACTGAAGCCAGACAGCTTTGGGTTCTACTTTTCAGATGTGCAACGCAAGCATTTATAGGTCAATTGACTGAGGGTACTTGTCAAAGGTCAGTGGATAAAAGATGTGAGTTTGTAGTTTTGTTCTTCTCCTGAGTTGTCCTCTCTCTCTCTCTCCTCTATTGTTCTTTGTTTTAGTGGCCTTTCATTTCATTATCCTGTTAATATGAGACTTTAAGTTGACTTCTATTAAGATCACTCTAAAACTGCTGTGCCAATTTGGAAATTATGAACCTTATTAAAATATGTTAAGGTTTTCAGAATAGCACATTAGATGGCAACAGAGTCTCCTAGGAATCCAAATGAGTAGGTTGAGCCTCAAATTGAGTCCTAAGCAAAAGAAAGGTGATCTTTGCCCTGTGTCATGGAAGTTTGCAACAGTTAGAGAGTTAAGCATATTTTTACAAAGGATGCATCATCAAAAATAGTTTCCAAAATTGAATTTAGTTGATATTACCATTGTTGTCATTAAAATAACTGTTTATCACATTTCCCACCATACAAATTATTGGACTTTCTTCTCAAAACATTCATAAAATCATATATTACCTTAAATCACTTGGATGTCGCACTAATACACTTGATTTTTATTGAATTACATTTAAAAACACACACTAATATCTAATATATACTAAGTCAGTATATATTATATATTCTATATGTTATACTATGCTCTATATACTATACAGTATATAATATACTATACATATTATATCTACTATATACTACACTCGAGCTCAAGAATGCTTCCAAAATTCTATGAAAAGAAGAAAGTTACAGAACAAATAAAAAGCATAAGTCATATCTACATATCTGATTTAACATACAATACTGAGAAATCATTTAATATTAAATATTGGGGATTCATCTTGGTGAAGATATGAGAATTCACATTTAAATATGACTTGAGTTACTTTTAGGTAAGATTAAAGCTCCTTGGGTATTATCTTCTCCTTTTTGAGAAACAGAGTGAGCCAATTGGTAGTTTAAAATTCTTGAAGCTATTGGCCTCACATCACAAATGTGTCTGTGAAGATCACAGGCCCATGGCATCAACGTTCAAAGTCTCTACCACAGCCAGTGAGGAATCACGTTCTTCTGATGAGCTAAGGGAGGGTGGTGGGGGTGGTGGAGCATGAGAACACCCACCGATAAGTTTTAGGAATGATAAACAAAGTGGGAAAAACCAAGTCAGATAAATGACCAAAGGCCCACGGAATTTTACAGATTTTTAAAAATTGTGTGATCCCCACGAGTAACTCTTACTTTTGTAACCTAGGCTGGACACAGAAAGTAAGTTTGTAAATATCATAGAATGGTTCATGAAGACCAATTCTCAAATGGGAGCTTGTGTTTCTGATCCCTCACCTAGAAGAAATAAGAGAAACTGGTAGAATTCTAACTGGGCAAATGCAGGAGATTGAAATATATCATTTTCTTATTAAAGGGACTGTGTTTGATATTTAGCTGTCACAGGGGGTTTTTGTCAGCCAAGTGATTTATGCTTTTCATACATCGGTCAGCCAATATATATTAACTTATGTAACTGTGGAGTAGCTTTCAAATAATAAATGAAAATATATGCTACATGTTTATATTTCCTAATTCACTACTGGATTATAAAGCTATTAATGTGTGTTTTACAATAGTCAGTCTTTCAGGAGAAAAATATCTCTCTAGTAGTAAATTTATACTTTATGCGTTATCAGAAATATTGAATATCTAAATCACAGTGATGTCTAAATAAAATTATGCAAATTATATGAAAATGAGAAACTATGCTAAGCTTGGAGTTCTTTGCTTTCCTCTCAGTCTGTAGGGAATGTTGTTGTTGTTTTGTGGGCTAGTTTGTTTTTCTTTTATGTCTTCCTACTTTTATCTGACAAAAAGGATGAGAGCTGAAAGTCTCTTCTATATAGTATCCTAAACTTTTGTTTCTTGTGCTGTTTCATATACAAGCATGAGTTATTCTATTTAAAATGGAATGTGCCATTAGTCTTTCTGGCTGTGAGATGAATTTCAAGCATAAATATGCATACTGTGCATAACTTATAATGTCTTGCAGTATGCGTTATTCCTCAACACCAGAATGAACATATATGACCCTGATTTCCCTTAGATGCTTTAACAGACATTAATTCCTACCCTCCAAAACTCACTCGATTAAGACAACTAAATTTGGTAATTTTGGTTAAGACTGGCTCACTTTTCATTTTTTTGGTCTTTCCTCTACCATTCCTTTCTTCCATTCTCCCTTCTTTCTTCTACAGTGCTGGTGATTTAACCCAGGACCTCACATGTGAGAGGGCAGTACTCTACCAAGGACACACATTCCTATACATCATTTATGAGAAGAGGACATTTATTTTTGTTAATATAAATATTTTACCATTAAGCCATTTTCCTAGAGTATGAAACCAACGGATACATTTATAAAGCACCCCAATTCTAAGTTTTCAATATTGTTATGCATGCAAAGAAGAATTCCAGTAACAAAACAGTGCCAGTTTATTATAGATGATCATTAATAAACAAAGCAATATAAGATGTACATCTATGATCCATAAAACCAAAATTCTAAAATACTCTCAAATCCATCATTATATTTAAAATATTTTGAATTTTTTTAACCATTTTAGATTTTTTTATATTAATGCTCAAAGGGCAAAGTCTACCCTGACATCTGACAAATGCCAAGATTTCAAATGTTATCCTCCGAAACATTTTGGATAAGGAGTATTAAATCTCTACCAATAATTCTTAGATCATGAAATACGATATTAAAATGCCGTGCAATCTTGTGCATCTTACCTTCCTATCACAGTACCAAAAGATACACTAGCCCATCTGGTAAATCAATTGGGAAGAAAAGACTGAGAGGCAGTAAGGAGATGAGTGGATGGATGGAAGGAAGCAAGATCAATAGACAGATGAAAGGTGGGAGGGGAGGAAGAGAGAAAGACACAGTTGTTCTTAGTTCTGGTCACAGAGTGATTGATCCATAATAATTTTATGAGTTTAAATTATGAGGTAGCTTTGTATTTTCTCAAGAATATTCTGATTTGGGTGTTAAATAGTTGCTCTTAATAAACCAGGTCTTATATCTAAGATGTCCAGTTACTGGGGCTGCTTTAAGTTTTGCCCAGAATTTAGAGACAGAAAATGAAAGCTTATCTTCATCATAGATCTATAGTTTTGATGAGGTTACTAGGAGCAGCTTATCTGTGATCTCTGTTATCACTGGTTTGGGGGGGGGTCGTCATTCAAGGCATGCCCAGTTCAGGGCTCTAATTGATGCCTGGCCACCAATTGCAGAGCTTGGCTGCTCTCTGCCCCTGACTCTGTGCATGGGCTACTTTGGGCTTTGACATAGCATGGTGGGTAAGTTTCAAGGGCAACCATGCAGAGATAGAGGAGGAGCCAAGTCAAACCTAATGTTCTTCAGTGACTTTACATGGAGAATGTCAAAGACCTACCCATTTTAAAAACCACAAACATTGTACACGCAGGGAGATGTAGTTCCAGAGAAGTAAAAGTTACTGGTGGAATGGTTAAACTATACCACATACAGATTTTTAAACATTTTCTCCTCCAAAAGAGTACTATATTATCTTAAGCTATTCTTCCTCAGTCTTTGACAACTGGGAATATAACAGAATTCACTTAACATCTGTTGAGAACCATCTCTATGCCAGACTCTGTGGAAGGTGCTGGCAATAGACGCAACTTAAGTCACATTTAGCTTCGAGATGCTGAAATCTCAGCCCGAAAATCCGTATTAACCAAACAAGCATCAAATCACGTGAAAACTTGTATGGTCTTTTTAGTCCCTAGGAGCAAAGATGAATTCCATATATCTCAGAGATTCGAGCTGTTGGCTCCATTAATGTAGTGTGTGGCTGTCTTAAGCAATATGAAAACTAGGGGACAAAGTCCTTCTACTGAGAACGCATATTTGGAAAATAAATTTGAGATTTTTGAAGACATAAGGAAAAACAGAATCACTTATTCCTCTTAAAAGTTTATGTAACACATGCATTTATTGATTTAACCATAATCTGGGTTCGATTTTTCTTTTTTCTTAACCAAACAACCATGCAGACTTTTAGTAAGTTACCAGACATCAAGTTTCCCTTATTCAGACCTTGAACAACGCCATGACTGCCTCCAACAACCATTTTCATGAATCTGGCGTATTTCAGTGCAGAAGTTAGCCTGTTCTTATCTAGAGCTGTGGAGTGTCTACCTTTGTTTTCTAATGCTACAAACACAGTGCTTCACCGTGAGAGATAGTTGATGACTCTCCTAGCAAAAATATGTGTCATGATACCAAATAATTCCCACCTAATGGTGTTATTTATAACAAATCCTATGTTTTTAAAGCATAAATTTGTTAGTTCTCCACATGTCCCCACTCACCAGTTCAGACAAAGAAACTAAACTATGGATGTACAAAGTTTTAGCCATGGAGTAACATAACCAATCCCTACAGAAAGATGGAGAGAAAGAGAAGACAAGCCCGGACTAGGTATCCACACTTGAGTTTTGGTGCCTGAGAGCATCCGTTTCCTTTTGTGCAAGTCATGGTACCAAGGGCCAAAAGCATCATGGTGATAATCTACAGTTAAGCTCTTCTCAGCTCCACACAAATCCCCCTTTTGGCTTCTGCACGGAACTTGGCAGCTCCGCTTTAAACACTGTTCACGTTTGGCTGAGTGCATCCCACAGAAGTGACATACGAGCACTTTATCAGTTTATTCTCTATTTTAAGATGCGTATCAGCCTTGTGTCAACGCCCTTAACAAAGATAATAAGAGCTTCCCATCCTCCATGCAGTCCGGCGGCCCGGTAGTTGACTCACCTTCTGAAGCACATGAGAAGAGAGAAGAAGAAGAAGAAAAAGTCAGAGTCAGATAGAAGAAATTGTGAACTCAAATAATCTGCACACCCAATATTGCTAATGAAAAGATGACCAGGGGCAAGAATACCAGACCCAAGCATAAGCAATTTATAAACCAGCCATCCACATAAATTTTAACTCTCGTGTGTTCAAGGAAAACGGAAGTTAGTCTATTGTCCATATTGTTACCATCTCTTTCCTTGACCTTCTTCTCCCCCCCCCAAGCCCTCAGACAGCACTCTAGCTTTAGAGAACTCCCAAAGTCCACCTTTATTCTGCTGTCCCAGGTCCTGAACACTGCATATTTACCCAGTACTTGGCCATATTTGTCTTCTGGACATAAAGATGAAATTAGCACCAGCCTTAAGTTTTCTCTTACTGTTTAATAGTTATTATTGGAAAACTGAAATCTCTCTGTAGTTTGGCTGTTGTCTGAGCCTTGAGTAACACTGGAGATACACTTACAGTAGTCAGAAATCAAATGTAATTTAATCTATTTATCTATCTATCTATCTGTCTGTCTGTCTGTGTTATGTGTGTTCATGTGTGTGTGTGTGTGTGTATGTGTACTAAAAGCTTATGAAGATGTACAGTCCACAGGTTTCATGAATCAGAAATGAACTGCTTATTGAGTTGAATAGTAGTGACAGATTACCCAAAATCATAATCAAATCAATTTCATATGTAGCTATGTAAACATACTCAACTTATGAACCAACAGTATAACTGTGGAATGGAATTACTCAATGCATATAAGGTGTCTAGAATGCCTAGTTATTAACTATTGAAATAAAATTAAAGATTTCTAAAAATCTAGGAAATCATGCTATTAGCAATCATGACTATCATAATATAAATGTCTTAAGATTTGGATTTGCTCGTTGGAAAAATACCAATTAGCAAAATTTAATATGTAATTTATTCAGTGGTATATAAAAGGCATAGCATGTGCCTTTCATTCAAAAAACACTGATTTACATCACAGGTAATTTGTCTGTGTGGAAGACTGGGAAATGCTCAGAAACTAACGTGTTTATTGTGCAAGAATACAGTCCTGAGTTCAATCCACACTTCCGATGTAAGAATCATGGGGAGAATGATCCCGGAATCAGCTTAGCTGAGTCTGTGGGCTTCAATTTCAGAGGAAGACCCTTACTCCAAAATGAAGGGGAAGATGTGAGAAAGATAGTTGATATCAACCTCTTGCTCCCCCAAACAGGCAAGGGCATATACATGAACTCACAGGCACATACACAAAATAAGTGCATAAATATATAAATTTGTCAGGATGATAAAACTTTTGCTATGTAAAGGTAAGAAAGGATTAAATAGATTATTGTGAATGAAAGGATACAAGTGCTGTATGAAATTATGGAATAAAATATGCCTCAAGTTGTTGTCAAAGTAATTCTCATCTCATATCTGTTTCATTCTTTTTCTCTGGCATAAATCCTTGAGTTCAAATTTACATGTGATAAACTTTTAAACATATAAATATGCATATTAAAATTTCCTTGAAACCTGGATAGGTTGTTGATTTATTTTTGTGGGTATTGTACATTTACAGAATATCCAAAGTTCAAACATTTTAATGAAAAGTAGACGACGGAGAATCAGTTCCACATGGATCAGCATGCGTGGTATTCCTTCCCATGTTTCTGGCATAGGCAAGCCTTGATGAATAATCATCTCGATCATTTCATTTGTTATAATTAAACAATGAAGTGCATCAGTAGTAGCAATCAGCAGATAATCACATCCTGGTGTAATTAGCAGGTATAGGACACAGCCAAGTATCTCTAATGCCTTAGCGTGTGATTATAATATGACGGTCGTACACAGTAGGTTGCCTAATTTCCATTGTAGAAATACGTAGTTTTTATAATGAGCTTATTTTAAAAAGTGAGCATTTCTGTTTCTGAAACAAATACGAATAGTTATCATTTGGAATTTTCAACAAATTTGATATGCAGTTCACTACTTGCGAAAGGTTTCCTTCTATATTCCGAGGTCTTGCTTCTATACTTTGCTTTTATCAGTATTCAAAGTTTTAATGATAAGCAGCAATTAACAGATCAATATCTTATCTGAATATTTCTTAATGTTTCAAGATTAAAAATAAATAGGAAAAAAATAATAATCAAGGAGTAACTAAGAATTTTATTTTGTTATTTTAGTTTTGAAATTTCAGCCAAATAGTTCTGCTCCCAATACAGATAGCTGTCAGCTTTGATTTTAATAGTCTGACATGGCTGAGCTGTTTGTTTTCACCATAGGAAGTCAGCAAGGATACCTATCAAGAAAAATTAAATAATCAGGGTGTGCCTGTTCTTACATCTTTTGTGGGCTAATGGCTCAGTCACTTTCTGGGAAGCACCTAATCAATTTGAATTCTTTGTGGTGCCTCTGCCTAAATCAAATGACAAATTGTTCAACATGACATGGGCCTTTGTGTATCTCTCGGGGATGCCCTTACAAAGCAAACCCTTGTAGGATACAACACGGATCACCGACAACCAGAGGAGTGGTTTGTTTTGGAAGTGGTTATTTGTGTTTGGGATGTCTGAGGGATGCAGAATCCAATAACAACCATAGTGATTTCGTTTCTCTTTGTTCCTCAGTGCAACAGTGACTATGTGCCTGTGTGTGGCTCCAATGGGGAGAGCTACCAGAACGAGTGCTACCTGAAGCAGGCTGCCTGCAAGCAGCAGAGCGAGATACTTGTGGTCTCGGAAGGATCCTGTGCCACAGGTACGCACAAGTGTCCTGAAAACCACGTGGGTTGCGAGTCCAATCCCTTCTTGTTTCCTCTTCGTTCCTCAAATCAACCTCACTTTATACTGACTATGGCTTCCATTTGTTCTTGTTTTTTTAAAGCCTTGATTTTTTTAAAAAATAAATTACATACATCTGTATAAAAATAGGAAATGTATTGTACGACAACTGGTATCTTTAAATACATATATATTGGTTACCGATGTACAGGCAGTTGAATAAAATAGAAATCTGCCTTTAGTTCCTACATATGAAGTTTCTAGATAAAGTGTTTGTTTGTTCAATTGATGGTCTCTTTGAGAAGGGGGTTGTCTCCTAGAGTGCATCTTCTCGAGTGCATCTTTGCAGATTTGAATTCTGAAGATAACAAGGTTTTTTTCTTTTTTTCTTTTTCCTTTTCCTTTTTTTGTGGAGGAACTCCTGTTAGATTTTAACTTTAAAATGTACTGGAGACTATTTAGCGGATGATCCTCAGGAATGCATTGACAGTGTGAATAATTTACACTAACATCTGTCTTTCTGACACAGTTAAACTCAGATTCTTCAGAGCTCCTTAGCTATGTTGCTCTAAGATTGCTAGAAGAAAGGAAGGGAGAGAGGGAGAAAGGAAGAATGAAGGAAGGAAGGAAGGAAGGAAGGAAGGAAGGAAGGAAGGAAGGAAGGAAATCAGTCCATGAGTTTCTTAGCTTTCCAAGGTTACATGTTATAATTTTTCTTTTTCCTGCTTCTTTTTCCTTCTCTCTCTCTCTCTCTCTCTCTCTCTCTCTCTCTCTCTCTCCTCTCTCCTCCCTCCCTCCCTCCCTCCCTCCTTCTCTCTCTCTCTCTCTCTCTCTCTCTCTCTCTCTCTCTTTCTTTCTTTCTTTCTTTCTTTCTTTCTTGTTTTGTACCATGGTTGTGATAGGCCAGCAATTTACAGGCAGAGAAATAGAGCAACAAGAAGAACACCCCAACAAAAAAGCAATTAAGCAGAACTTGCTGAGGAAAGCAGAACTCTAAAGCGGAGCAGAGCCGAGTGCAGGTCAGGTTCTAGGCACAAGCGTCTCCTAAATGAACAGTAGCACACCATGATAGCTACACTTACCTGCAGAGACTCTTGGGAAAGTCACGGTTTCCGAGGAAGACATTTGCAGGTTCAGGAGAAATAGTGATGTAATAGAAAAGCTTCTTTCAAGAGCTAGGATAGGGAATCTTTGATATAGAAGTCCCTCTGGGATAACAGGTCTTTTTCATTTCAAGGTGTTACAGGAGAAGCATGTGCTAGTTTGTTGGGGTAGGGTATAAAATGAGCAAGGGCTGTCTACTTATTGTTAAGGGTGGATGATAGTTAGAGATGCCCTGCTGACTCCCATGGTTTCCATAATGAACAAAGAACCATTAATCACGGACATTTCTCTGCTACAGAGATATGGTCATTCGATTTTGTGTTGGTTGCTAAGGGGTCTCTTCTCCTCAGCGATCTTTGCCTCCGAATGTGAATGTGAGTGACCTATCTGGAAGGCAAACCGGTTTGGCCTCTGCTCACTATTGGTTTGGAAGAGCAGGTCATAACTGCCTGGCCTGGAGTGAAAAGGTGTAAAGGTGACAGCAGGTGTCCCAGTCAGAGGGCAGAAGTCCCTGCAGAAGAGGACCAGAAGGCTAGCCTTGGGCTTCCAAAGAACACTCAGAAACAAACGATGGAAATAAAGTACTCAGCCACACCAAAAGACAAAGCAATAAAGAAAAATGACTTTGGAACTAATGGGACAGAAATAAATAGAACCGCTGGACCTCGGGAAGGCTGTAGCTAACACTGGACTGGCGAAGAGTAGGAAAGGCTTTGTCTGTGACTGAGGAGGGCAGCTGACCAACTTCGGCATCACCGGGTGAGGGCCCGTAGGTAGGCAGCAGTTACTCGAGATAAAGCAGGAGCTATGGCTATGAACTAACAGCTGGTACTAAACTGGTATCCTCTCTCCCGCCCTCGAAGTTCCTATCAGGGCACAGCCACCCTCTTGATTCATTCAAGTCTCTTCCTGCCCGTCCCCAGTGTGCTGCTTTTACTATGAAAATAAATACTTAGCCAAGTAGAAAATTTAATCACAATCGAAGGAGCTGTCCTTACCTCATTTGCATGCCTAAATTTCTACGGGATTTAATTAGTCAGCCAGTTTAGCAGAATGCATCTCCTGTCGACTAGCGAATCTAGAAGAAGGGTTTGGGTCTGAGGAGTGATGGGGAAGCCAGGCCTGACGGCAGATAAATTAGCTTTTCTTCACAAGTTTCCTATTTATTTTTAATGTTCTTGGACACTGAGTGGAGGTGGCAAGGTGTGGTCTCTGGGAACAAAAGGCTGAAGAGCATACAGTTTTTTATCTGTTCTGTGTCGCTAGAGATGCGTGGCTGCTTTTTGACCCAGAATGTGATTTCCTCACAGCTAGGCTCACTGTCAGCTTCACGGCACATCTTGTAAGAACTGGCTGATGCAGAACCAGATTCGGGTCCAATGGTATCCCTTCTCTGCTGCCTCCATGCAACTTTCTTAGGCTACTTATTTCTGGCTTGCCAAGATGACTCACCCTGCAATTGAGAGAGCATGGAAGTATTTCATAATGAGACTATTGACTACAAGGACCGTTTTCCCATCTAATCCCCTGTTGTTCCCCCGCTATTTCATTTGGATCAAATCAAACACTACGCATGTGGACTAAATCTCGTGAAATTTTAGAAACATACGTGAGAGATAAAAGTCAAAATGCTATCACTATTTTTTCCTGACTTTCCCCACTCATATATATTTACTCAAAAGCCTACGAATCAAGAGGCAAGATGTTTTCTCAACATTTTAATTATCAGATTCCAGACAGTGCTCACACAAGAACGCAAGTTCTTGTTCACTATACCCATTAAACAGAAGGGATAAGTTTAGGAAGGTGGCTTAAGATTGCTCTTGTCATTTAGCAGCCTGGGGCCTGTGAACATGAGTATCTTTCTCTTTGCATGTGTCAGATTCGAAAGGCGGGAGACAAACATCCCATTGGTCCGCCTGATAGACGGTCCCGATTTTATTAGGAAATGAGAAATAGATTTCATACGCTGAGAACATATGGGCAAGATGTGTTAACCCTGCGGCTTTACAGCTTGGGATCTGGCCCCTTTGAATAAAAATAGTAGAGAAATGAGCTTTCAGATCAATCCAGGCAAAGTCAGCTAAAATACCTATGAAGCTATGCTCAGAGGAAACATAGCAAACATTGACCATGTGAGCAAGCACTCGTTTGTCCAAAAGAAACAGTAGTATCCCTAAGGAGTGTTGTTCTAACCGGAGGAATATGTCCCTATAACAGAGAGAAATGCATAAGCCTTTCTTAATAGTTTACCTTTATAATGTCAGATCATAGGACTCCAATTCTAAGTGAGCTCTATATTTTAAGATATATATATGTGTGTGTGTGTGTGTGTGTGTGTGTGTGTAGTTCTATATTTTAAGATATTTAGTTCTATATTTTAAAATATACATATACAGATACATACATACATATATATATATATATATATATATATATATATATATAGGCAATGGCTGCACATGCTTTTAATCACAGAACTCAGAAGACAGAGGCAGTCAAATCACTGTGAGTTCAAGGCCAGCCTGCTCTACAAAGGAAGTTCTTGGAAAACCAAATCAACACAGAGTAACCCTGTTTTGGGAAGAAAAAAAAAAGAAAAGAAAAGATATGTGTGTGTGTGTGTATAAAGAATAAATTTATAATAAATAAAATACGTAAATATATTAAGAATAGATATATGTTAAGGAAGTTGTGTATATTTAATATATATTTTAGCAAATCCATATTTATTCCTAACCATTATTATTCTTAACGTGTATACACACACATGTATATTGCTGTAAACTATTTTGATCAATTGGCTTGTGTTTAAGTATATGTCCAGTCATGATGACAGTTAATGAATTAATTGATCTTCTTACGTAATACAGTGTTACTCAACATGAGTTGCCCCAAAGACTCACTGTTCTCCTGCTGTACCTCCATGGCAGTGTTGATGCCACACAGGTAGACATGTTGTATGGATGCAGCCACTCTCCCGTAAGTGTTGGTTGCATGAATTTTCACACCGCTGGCCACTCTATGTAGTGTTTCTCAGCAACATTTCAAAGAGACTAGCAAGAAGAAGAAATGTTTTATATTAATCAAACAACAAACACAAATTCATAGAGGACGTTTCTGATGTATGTCTAGAATCCTATATGAGATTCCAATGTAGAGGAGCAATAATACATTTGAGACTACCAATATTATCATATTATCTAGTTTTAACAAGAGAAATCCACAATGAATTATATTTTGGGTGCAAAGAAATAAGTAAAGAAAAGATGATGTCTACATTTAGGAACAGACTCAATAGTCTTGAGTCAGACTAGGGAATTGGGTATTTCTGGAATCTGTGTAGACAGATTAATAGAGACAGGTAGGTAGATAGATAGATAGATAGATAGATAGATAGATAGATAGATAGATAGTAGATAGAGAGATAGATGATAGATAGATAGATAGATAGATAGATGATAGATAGATAGATAGAGAGATAGATGATAGATAGATAGATAGAGAGATAGATGATAGATAGATAGATAGATAGATAGATAGATAGATAGATAGATAGAT